TTGGAGAAGGACACACCAACAATTCTGTGATATTCCTGCCAAAAATGCATAACTTGAATCTAATCATGGAAACATGAAACAAACTCACATTGAAAGACATTCTAGGGACTTCCCTGGTGGCGCAGTGGTTAAGAATCCGCCTGCCGCTGCAAGGGACACGCGTTTGAGCCCTGGTCCGGGAAGATCCCACATGCTGCGGAGCAACTAAGCCCGTGCACCACAACTACTGAGCCTGCGTGCCATAACTATCGAAGTCTGTGCGCCTAGAGCCCGTGCTCCACAACAAGAGAAGCCACCGCAATGAGCAGTATGCGCACCACAACGAAGAGTAGCCCCCGCTCGCCGCAAAGCCGGCGCACAGCAATGAAGACCCAATGCAGCCAAAAATAAATAAATAAATTTAAAAAAAAAAAGAAAGAAAAACATTCTACAAAATAACTGGCCAGTACTCTTTTAAAATGATAGGGTCAACAAACATAAAGAAAAGCTGAAGGAATGTTCCAGAATAAAGGAAAATAAAGAGATCTGACAACTAAATGTTGTGTGTGATCTTGGATTTGGTCCTGGACTTGGAGAGAAAAAAAAAAAAAAGTAAGGACATTTGGGGAACAATTGATGAAATAGATAGTAGTATTGGATTAATGCTTAATTCCCTGATTGTGCTAACTGAACTGTGGTAAGAGAATGTCTTCCTGGAAAATGCACACTGCAGTATTTAGCAGTAAAGGGGCACCACATCTCCAATTCACTTTTAAAAGGGAGGGAGGGAAGGAAGGGGTGGGAGGAGGGAGAGAGAGAGAGAGAGAGAGAGAGAGAGAGAGAGAGAGAGAGTGTGTGTGTGCCCAAGTGCAAATAAGGCAAGAATGCAAATAAATGGATCAAAGATTGTAGGAGTTCCTTGTACTGTTCTTGTAATTTTTCTGTAAAATTGAAATTGTATCAAAACAAAAATTCCTCTTTAGCAAGTGGTGCTGGGAAACTTGGGTAGCCACAAGTAAATCAATGAAGTTAGAACACACACTCACAGCATACACAAAAATAAACTCAAAGTGTCTTAAAGACTTAAATATAAGACAAGACGCCATAAAACACCTAGAAGAGAACATAGGCAAAACATTCCCTGACATAAATCATACCAATGTTTTCTTAGGTGAGTCTCCCAAGGCAATAGAAATAAAAGCAAAAAATAAACAAATGGGCCCTCTTTAAGCTTATAAGCTTTTACACAGCAAAGGAAAGCATAAACAAAATGAATAGACAACATATGGAATGGGAGAAAATATTTGCAAATGATGCAACCAATAAGGGCCTAATTTCCAAAATATATAAACAGCTCATAAATTCAATAACAAAACAAAACAAAACAAATAACCCAATCAAAGAATGAGCAGAAGACTTAAATAGACATTTCTCCAAAGAAAACATACAGATGGCCAATAGGCATATGAAAAGATGCTCATCATCGCTAATTATTAGAGAAATGCAAATCAAAACTACAATGAGGTAGTGACTACCTCACACAGGTCAAACTGGCCATCATTAAAAAGTCTACAAATAATCAATGTTGGAGAGGGTGTAGAGAAAAGGGAACCTTCTTACACTGTTGGTGGGAATGTAAATTGGCGCAGCCACTATGGAGAACAGTATGGAGGTTCCTCAAAAAACTAAAAAATAGAGTTGCCATATGATCCAGCAATCCCACTCCTGGGCATATAGACAGACAAAATATAATTTGAAAAGATGCATGTGCCACTGTGTTCATAGCAGCACTATTTACAATATCCAAGATATGGCAACAAACTAAATGTCCACTGACAGATGAATGGATAAAGAAGATGTGAGATATATATATATATATATATATATATATGTATATATACACACACACACACACACACACACACACAGTGGAATATTACTCAGCCATTAAAAAGAATGAAATGATGTCATTTGCAGCAACATGGGTGGACCTAGAGATTATCATACTAAGTGAAGTAAGTCAGACAGAGAAAGACAAATACCATATGATATCACGTATATGTGGAATCTAAAATACAATACAAATGAACATATCTATAAAACAGAAACAGACACAGAGAACAGACTTGTGGTTGCCAAGGGGTGGGGGAGGGGAAGGGAAGGATTGGGAGTCTGGGATTAGCAGATGCAAACTGTTATATATAAGATGGATAAACAACAAGGTCCTACTGTATAGCACAGGGAACTAGATTCCATATCCTGTGATAAACCATAATGGAAAAGAATATGAAAAAGAATATATATATGTATAACTGAGTCACTCTGCTGTACAGCAGAAATTAACACAACATTGTAAATCAACACTATACTTCAATGAAATTTTTAAAATAAATAAATAAAATAAAAAGATCCTCCCCAGAATGAAAGAAAGCAAACAAATCTACGGGTGTGGTCAGGAACCAGGCAACACTCTGGCAACAGCAGCCAAGAGGCCTGTGTTTCCTGCTGGGGCGGGAGCCAGTCCAAAGTATGGCCATTCCAGGGACTGCAGGAGGGGAGGGGTAGCCACCCTGTGGGGTAGGCTTAGTGGGCTGGAACTCGTGTTATGTAAATTTTGTCATCGACTAGACCACAAACTGGGGTGCAGTTCCTCGTAGAGCATGGAACTTATACCATCATGTCCTTATAGCAGAGAGGCCTTACAGATGTTTTGTGTCAGATGATTCATAGATAAGATGCAGCAAACAGAAAATCATTGGGAAATGTGTGAACTGTGGTCAGATTTCATCTCTTTTCATAAAACTGACTATTGTTTAAGTCTTCTGCTTTTGTTACAGCCCATCTAGAGATAGAAATGTGTTTGCATTTTTGCAAGGAGGCCTGAATTTTTTTAATCTGGTAAAAGAGTTTAAGGTTAAAAGAATTTAAGGTAAAATCAGTCAAGGTTTTCCCATTTAGCAGTAGCAGGAATTAAGGCATAAGCTTTCCCTAAGCAATTCCTTTCCAAAGAGAAGCATATGTTTAAACGTAATTCATCTCTTCTGTGACCATTATCCAGTGTTTGGCCTTCTACCACAGCTCTAGAGCACAGTGATTTCTTTTCCTCTGTCATCTTTTTTTTTTGGCCAGAGATTCTGAGAATCTCTAAATCGCTAATTCTATGATTTCCTCTGGTTTGCCCCCCAAAGCTTAACAGTCTGATTTTTTTTTTTTCCAGGAAATTGATGCCCCACAAATCTAAGACCAGTTAGCTGAAAATAAGACAGGCTTCTTCACACAACCCCTAGGTGGATATCACCACTGCCTTTTCTCAGAGTCAGAGATAGCCAAATGGATCTCACGGGCTTCCCTGGTGGCGCAGTGGTTGAGAGTCCGCCTGCCGATGCAGGGGACGCCGGTTCCGTGCCCCGGCCCGGGAGGATCCCACATGCCGTGGAGCGGCTGGGCCCGTGAGCCATGGCCGCTGTGCCTGCGCATCTGGAGCCTGTGCTCCGCAATGGGAGAAGCCACAACAGTGGGAGGCCCACGTACCGCAAAAAAAAAAAGGATCTCGCTACGGAAGTTCTTCCTAACCCTTAACTGGTGCCAGGGAAAGGCCAAGAGTGGCTGCAGTGTTGGGGAGTGTGGGACACACCGGAATTCACCTTCCCTTTCCCTCTGCCTGCCTGTGGGGAGTGTTTCTGAATCGCGTCCCGTCTCAGGCAGGGCTCAGGTGGCCTAGGCAGCACCCGGCCGACGTTAGAGGGGGCGCTGCCCCAGGAAGGCCTGCAACACACAGCTCATTAGAGCGAGGCTGAGTCGTGGGGTATGCAGGCTGTTGGGTCCCATTCTTGCAACATAACAAGCAAAGAGAGTACTGGCAGAGAAAATCCAGACTGTGGAGTCTGTAAAACTTTTTCAAGGCCAGTTCACAAAGGCATTCACCAGGTCTGTGAGAGTGAAATAAAAGGTTAACAGAGCCAGTCAGAACTGCACAAGGTTAGGTTAGCCCGGGGCTGACCTGAGAGAAGAGGCCTCTGGAAAGGCAAATACCTTTTGGGGTCTGAAGTCTCCAGCAAAGGGAGGGCATGAAGCCTTAACTTATACAAAGGACTAAAGAGACTTCCCTGGTGGCGCGGTGGTTAAGAATCCGCCTGCCAATGCAGGGAACACGGGTTTGAGCCCTGGTCCAGGAAGATCCCACATGCCATGGGGCAACTAAGCCCGTGTGCCACAACTACTGAGCTTGTGCTCTAGAGCCTGCGAGCCACAACTACTGAAGCCCACGCACAACAAGAGAAGCCACCACAATGAGAAGCCCACGCACAGCAACGAAAACCCAACTCACACAAAAATAAATAAATAAATAAATTTATAAAAAGATTTTAAAAATAAATAAAAAGGGCTAAAGATTGAGAAGCAACCTCTCTTGGGGCGACTTGGTAAATCTCTTACAAGCCTCTGGGCTCCAGCTTTAACTACTCTTGGTCTTGAACTCCTACCAGGACAGAGTTTACCAAAGCAGGATGTAGCCCTTCATATTCTGAATACAAGGCAGAGAGGAGTGCTTTGAAACTGAGATCTGTTTCCAGGGCATAACTGGTTCAGATCTCTGAAACTGGAAGATGAAAATCCGGTACATCTGAGAAGCAGGTTTGCTGGAACCTGAAGGTTCACGGAGAATAATTGAGACAGACCTAACTTGTTTTCTTCGTAGCTTAAAACCATTTCTTTCAGGCAATGATCTGAAGGGGAACACCTGGCCCTGAGACCAAACTAAGCGTTCATCCTTATGAGGAAATGTTTCCAATAGATCAAATAGTAGGAGTCCATGCAAGCCGAGAATGCTGAGGCTAACACACTGGTGTGATGGCCACACCTATATCCGGTATGGACACCACCTCCCCAACAGGACATCTTGAACCTGGCATTTAATATGCTATGAGAAACATGAAACATGTTTTCACTCTCCTGATCAAAGGATGAGAGATGCTTTCTGCCTTCTTTTTTTTGGCCATGGCATGCAACTTGTGGGATCTTAGTTTCCCGAGCAGGAATTGAACCCGGGCCCTTGGCAGTGAAAGTGCCAAGTCCTAACCACTGGACCACCAGGGAATTCCCGCTTTCTGCCTTCTTGCCTTTGGTTAGTTGTCTCCCATTTCCCAAGCTTGGATGAGGAAAAGAAAAGGAAGGAGAAACCTCGAAAGAGAAGAAACTTCCTCCTGTCCTCTCACAAATTTCTGTTCTGCTCCTGTGGCTGCGGAGCCAGGGCCTGGAATTGGTAGTCTGCTCACTCACATTCTGGTCATTTTCTTTCTAAAGTAGGATGACTAGCACCTCCACTTGTGTTGAATGTTTCTGTCCAGGGCCTGTGCATAGTCCTGCAGATGTGTTGCTGGCAGCAAGGAGGTGCCAGGTTTGGCTGTGTATGGTGAGATACAAGTCCCTCTTGCCTCTGGGAAAACAAGTCAAAGGCATGCCTTACTCAAGGTAGGCAGACCCGCTCTAAACCCAGTATATTTTACTGTATTATGGGATGCAGAAGAGATGAGAACTAACATTTGTTGGGGGCCAGCTAAGTGTGCTGGACACTTTAGTTATATTCTCACTTAACCTCGCAACAACTCTGAGGCAGACGGCATTATACCCATCTTACAGATGAGGAAACTGCAGCTGTGTATTTGATAAGGTACTAGATGCAGGACCTTAGGTAACCAGCAGAGTTAGGACTTGAACCCAGGTGGTACATGCAGAGGCCTGTGTGCTTTCCAAGGGGCTGTGCACGCTGTGCTCGCCTTTTCCACTGGCTTGACCTCCAGCCATTTGGTCATCTCTGGTCACCCAGAGCATCTTCAATCTTCCATGAGTTTTTGCATATTGTCGGGAATGATGGAGAGGTCACTAGTGATTTGAATTTGATTTGAATTTCACCTTCTAGCTATATTTGATTTGAATTTTATATTTTAAATATACCTGGATTTCATTTTTTAACATACATTTAAAACTATAATTAAAAACACAAACATGCAGCTGTGTTAGCTATCAAATCATAACACAATGGAAAACACTGGCACATAAACTTTTTTTAAATATCTTTATTGGAGTATAATTGCTTTACAATGTTGTGTTAGTTTCTGTTGTACAACAAAGTGAATCTGCTATATGTATACATATATCCTCATATCTCCTCCCTCTTGCGTCTCCCTCCCACCCTCCCTATCCCACCCCTCTAGGTCTTCACAAAGCATCGAGCTGATCTCCCTGTGTTATGCAGCAGCTTCCCCCTAGCCATCCATTTTACATTTGGTAGTGATTATATGTCAGTGTTACTCTCTCACTTCGTCCCAGCTTCCCCTTCCCCACTGTGTCCTCAAGTCCATTCTCTATGTCTGTGTCTTTATTCCTGCCCTGCCACTAGGTTTATCAGTACCATTTTTTTAGATTCCATATATGCGGCACATAAACTTTAGCTGACAAGTTTATGAGCAAATCCTGGGATAGAGCTTCTTGGGCCCTCCCTGCTTCTCTCTCTTCTCCCTCTCTCTTTCAGCCAATAGGACTTTGAAGTATAATTTACCTACAGTCAAATGCACAATTCTTAGGTATACAGCTCATGAATTTTCATACATATATACTCCATATAACCGCCACCCATATCAAGATATAGACAATGTCCAGCACTGCAGAGAGTCCCCTTATGCCCTTTCAAGTCACTGGCACCCTTCCCCCATCACCATCTGACTCTACCACCATAGACTAGTCAGTCATGTACCACTGATTAGGAAGGTTATGGGTCTGCACTGTCTGTTCCTGTAACAAAGTTCCCCAAAATGCAGCACTCAGTCACACCAGACTCAGAAGCATCTATTTGGTCCCTGCTCTTGTCAGGCCTCAGTGATCTTTCACAAGTGAATGCGTAATGTGTCACCTGGCTCTACTACTTATAAAAAGTGTTGGGTAGTTCATGTCTGACTTTTGTATCCTGGACAAGAAATTCAAAAGTCTTAATTATGATTATCTGGAAATTTTTAAATGTTCTAGTACTCCTTTTTTCAAACTTCTGGATCAGTTTAAATAATAGGTGATAAGGCAAGCTGTTTTTGTTTTGTTTTCTAATAAATATTTGTTTACTATTTGCAACTAAAATAATGTATAGGGCTTCCCTGGTGGCGCAGTGGTTGAGAGTCCGCCTGCCGATGTAGGGGACACGGGTTCGTGCCCCAGTCTGGGAAGATCTCACATGCCGCGGAGCAGCTGGGCCCGTGAGCCATGGCCGCTGGGCCTGCGCGTCCGGAGCCTGTGCTCCACTCGCAACGGGAGAGGCCACAACAGTGAGAGGCCCGCGTACCGCAAAAAAAACAAACAAACAAAAAAATGTATAGAAGTAAATTAAATGCTGAGCTATGTAAGATTGCAATGGTCATACCTATATTAATTGTTCCAAATTTGGTATTCATCAAGACAATAATTTTTCCTCATAGATTAACTTTATAAGAAGTGAATGCTAAATAAGTTTTAACTTTAAATGTATACAAAAAAATTATTTAAACATTAAAAAAAATTAGGGTTCATATAAGATTTGTCTGAAAACGTTATAATACTAAAAATTTGCAACCCACATCCTGGGACAAAATATTTCTGGACATAGAAACTTGATGGCCCTTAAAGTAGCTGGATTTTCTCTTCTTGACATGCAATTGATCTCAGGCTTACATTCTGGACCGCCCTTGTTCTTTTCCTATCCAGCTTGAAGTGATTTCTCTATGTGTGGGAGCAGTGGAAACAAGGTAGTTAATATTCTACCATTTTCACCAGGAGAACCCTACCAGTCCCCTTCCATGTAAGCCTGGTTTTTGAAAGCCCCCTTTGGAGAGTGTGTGTACATGTGTGTGTGTGGGGTGTGTGTGTGTGTGTGTGTGTTATTAACAGCATTAGGGATTGCTGTTCTTATTCCGTGTAAGTGAGAAGTATTTTTCTATTCTTAAAAAAAAAAAAGTGAGACCGTTCTCAAAAGTCATTTCCTGAAATAAAGTGGGGAGGGAAGGCATGGGCGTGAGGGCAGTGAGTCATCAGAAGGCAGCTTGGGGAGAGCACGGGGTTGCTGGCATGAGCTGGGGGAGCCTTGCTTAATCCTGCACAAGCCTCTCCGATCAGTGAGCTGAGCAGGATATCAGGCCCTTCTGATGTGAGAAGAGGGCCTCGTGAGAGGTCCAGAGGGGGCTGATGTACAGGATGGTGGGCAGCTGGGGGCAGCTGGAGGTACAGGGGGAAGGCAGACAGACAGGTCCTGGGATTTCGGCGGGGGCCGCTCAGCTGCTGGAAAATGAGGTTCACAGAGTTGCTTGGACTGCGTGAATCTGGACTTAGGATAGCCCGAGCCGTAACACTTGGTTAGATAACACACGCTTCAGGCACAGGGATGTGAACTGGATCGTGGGAAAAGGCAAGACTTCGAAGTGCAAGAGGGCAGAGGGAGCATAAGGGGGCAACTCTACAATCAGTGCACCAGCCTGCGGCCCTGAGAGGAATCACGGGGCTCCCAACTTGGACTTGATTCAAGCAACTGCAGAGAAGAAGGGCCAAAGAGCAGCCAGGAGGCCCTAACCAGAGGAAAAACCGAGGAGGAAGTTCTGAAAGAGGTTGCAGAATCCATGGTCAGGCAACTAGGGCAGCCCAATTCTGCTCCCAGCTAAAACTGGAGATCATGACTCTAGCAGCTGACCCTGTAGGTGGTGGGTGAGTGGGAGGATGATATTCTAGATAAAATCTAACTGACAGGGGATCCCCTGGTGGGGCAGTGGTTAAGAATCCGCCTGCCAATGCAGGGGACACGGGTTTGATCCCTGGTCCGGGAAGATCCCACATGCTGCGGAGCAACTAAGCCCGTGCACCACAACTACTGAAGCCCGCGTACCTAGAGACTGTGCTCTGCAACAAGAGAAGCCACCGCAATGAGAAGCCCGCGCACTGCAATAAAGAGTAGCCCCCGCTCTCCGCAACTAGAGAAAAGCCCGCGTGCAGCAACGAAGACCCAATGCAGCCAAAAATAAATTAATTAATAAAAAAAAAAAAGTGGGAATTTACTAAGCAAAGGAGGGGGGTGGGAGAGATAGGTTAGGGAGCATTCAGAGAGAAGGCAGAAATTCAGTGATGAATATGCAGACGGTGAATTCAAGTAAAGAAAGCTGTCGTGGCTGGAGCAGAAAGAGCTGGCAGGGAGTGGGGAAGAAACCCACTCTAGGTGGCCTTCACAGGCTAGGGGCCAGCTGGGTTCCTAGCAGAGTGGAAGGCCAGATGCCGTCCTTTAGGATAGAGGTTGGATGAGAAGGTGGTGTGCATTAGCCAAAGTACCCACAGAGAAGTCTGTTCAGATCCCTGACACAGGCTTTTGTGTGCTCTGAACTGGACATTTTTATCAGTCGCAGTGGCCTCAGCTCATACATGCCAAACAAACACCTTCCACAAAAGGTGTTGCAGGGTATGTAGCCACCTCATCGTGCAAATGGCCACAGAGCTCATCCTTGGGGACCTTCCAGGCAAATGCTTTCCCACCTCTACGAGGAAACCACATCCTTCTCTTTCTTCACCTTCAGTAACCAATGGCATTACAAGGTAGAGAATACACAGGAAGCATGCCAACAGGATGCACCCCCAAAGAACCTCTGGTCCTGCAGGTTGCAAACTCGAGTGGGAGGCGCAGGGTGCAGAGGGGGGCTAAATGGAACACTCCTGTCTCCCCCAAGGAAATCTGAAGTGTAAGCTCATCATGTAAAATGAATAAAGCAACAACGTTGGTCTTGTTGTAGGGGGCCCAGAACCTTCTTCCCCTTTCTCCATCCCCTAAGGTGGCTTCTAAGGTCAGCTTTATTCACATTAACAAAATAGAAAGTTGATATTCATGCAAGGGGGCAACTTTCCTAGCAAGAAGACATTTCTAGGAGCAACTGAAAATTTTGGAAGAAAAGTAAACAAGAAAGATAAGAAAACTTGGCAGTAGGGCTATGTGTACCAATCCTCTTCTTGGAACACTTGTGTAATTCCTCACTGCACTTAAATTTCAGACTTCATACCATACTGTGAGACCTCGCATGATCTGGTCCCTCCCTTCTGTTAGG